ATATATATATATATAATTATATAAATATATACATATCAATTATATTGTCTTATATCTTTTAATTTAATTCGTTATTGTTTCATATATTTGCGCATAGTATATGATTCTTATTTAAAAATATAGGTGTATCTGCAGCTACTGATGAGATTCACACGTGGCTGGCATTGAATAACGGTGCCTCGCTGGAAGTACAAATCGCTCACGGCAGAGAGCTTAAGAATAAATCGGCAAAAAAATTGTTTCGCTCTTGGTCGGTTCATCGGATAGGAAAAATATGAGATCTAAGGAAAACTAGATGCAATTGTACATCTGTTTAACACGCATGAAACTATAAGATTTTTTACTCGTTTCTCGAAAAGAAGTCGCTAGTTCGAAAACGTGAAATCCGTCAGTATTCATTGTATTAATAAAAAATGGATATAAAAAAATTTTAATAAATTTTTATCCATTTTTTATTAAGGCAAAGAATATTTTTACAAGCCGATTATCTTTTACAATCTTTTTACAAGCTGTATAGACAAATTCTTAATACTTAATATTATGTCCAGCCACTATATGTATTACGATTCTAATAGCATTCCATATGATGTTTATCTCAACTTTTTTGTACAATTATATTAATAAGAATTTATTATCAACTTTTCACAAAATTGTATAAGATAAATTAAAGAGAGAGAGAGAGAGAGAGAGAGATATATATATATATATACTATGTTAAGTCCTAATTTATGTATATTGTAGATTTTTTAATATTCGAAAAATTTAATACTAAGATATAATAATAAGAGTACATTGAAATACCAATGAAAAAAATATATTAAAATACCATTTTGTTCATTTTTAATTTCTGATATATTACATTTGTACATTTACATGTATTGCTATTTCATATAATACTAGATATATTATAATGTAAAATGTAATAATATAATATTAATAAGTGTATATTTTGTATTACTCAAATACATTATATATACATTATACATACAATATATAGAGATATAAATATATTATCAGAGTTTAATTTAAATTACTTTTATATCACATAATTATTGAAAATATTACAGATATTAAATTTGTATTTTAATAGATACAAACTTGCATATATAAGAGATTATACATACAACAAACGATGCACTTTTAGTCTTATTTCTCGATATACATTTTTTAAGTGTAGGCACTATGTAAATCGTAAATTTGAAACTTGCAATCACAAAAGTTGATATTTATTAAAGAAAGATTAACAATATGTATAACGAGATTATTCTTAACTATTTTCATTCATCATTTAAAATTTATAATAGTAACTCTCATATTTGTGATTCTATTTTAAAAGTAATACATTTATATGTATAATATATGAAAATATGAATATATAAACGTATTACATTTAAAATAGAATCTTTTAATAGATTAAAGCAAAAACAAAATTTTCACGTTTATAGCAGTGTCAGTCGTATTTTAGAGCATGCATAATTGTATATATACTTATATAAACTTTCATATAAAATATAATAAAAAATATACATCAGCTGAGAACGAACTTTATATCAATCGTTCGATTTCAGCTAATGTATTTTATTAAATTAAAAGACTCAAAGCTTATTCCGATAATTCTATATAAGTTATATAAAATAAGATTGCACTTGTGTGACTATAACAATATCATTGTTGATGTTAGGTCTGCCTCATTTTGGTCAGCCAAGTGTTATGTAGAATACTTAATACCTTTCGAATAAGAAAATGTACAACTCTTTCTCCCGTTGAACCACAGCATGTTTTTTCCTTTCAGTTTACCTGCCACTAAAACGGATACATCAAGCTCTATGAAATCTTATTCAAGTATATATTTAAACAGTGAAATTACAATTAACTATATTCTTACTCGTAGAGCAGGCTGTGTGCCACTAGCAGCAGCTTCCTGTTCTCGCTTCTCGAGTTCCATCGCTCGTCGCTGCTGTCTCTTGACAGATTCTACATCCTTTATGCCCCGTTGCTGTTGCTCGGCTATCCTTTTTTCAGCTGCTTCTGCCTGTCTTCTACGTATAGTTTCCTGAGGGGAGAAAAGGAAAAAATAGGTTTATTCTTTTTAACTGAACTTTTTACACACAATTCATTCTTTGCAATTTTTTTCTTCAACGTGGAAAGAAAACAAGAAGGAAAGAATCGTGCAAGTTTAGCTAAAAAGGACAGGTATCACGTCAAAAATATTGCAGAGCAGTTTTATAACGCAATGAAAAAAAACGGAGAAATAATAATGATTTCCGGGAGAAATAATAATTTCCGAAATAATTTTAGGCGACCAAAACTTGTCACGGAAAGAAACAAAAACGAAGGAGAATGTTTTGTGACGATTTAACGATTTCGTTTATCACTCAGGTGATGGATTAACAATATTTATGTGCGCGTTTATAACCTATGCGGAAGACACACCCGATCAGGAGTGAGATCCTCGTATGACGCCGTTCCCTTGAAACAGGCGCAACAATTACCCATGCTGAATCGTTACCCGTGCAAAATGTACGCAATCGACGCGAGAAACACCGTCAAATTAAATCAACAACGAGTACAACGAGCGACGTGCGTATGACAGAACACAGATCCGGGCTAACGGCTGTCGTCAACAATCGCCGACAGCTATTCGGTCATATGTACTTGGCAGTATCGTCACTCGAGTTTTCTGGCACCCGCGAAGAAGTGAACTCTATGCGATATGCACTACTATTTGATAAAACTCATTTGTTATGATCTGCAAGGAAACAATCTTACGTTTTCTTATAATACAAACAATGAAATGAAAACAATTTAAACTGAATAAATGAAGTGAAAAAACTTTAACGTAAAAATGAAATATGTACTTGTATTTATTACATGTGGCTTTAAATTTGCCACATTTTTAATAAAATTGCAAGGAAAGTGTCTTATGTTTCTTAATACAAAATAAAAATAAATTAAAGAAAATAAAAAAGTAAGAAAGGAAAAGCTTTCTGTAAACATTTGTTTCTTATTTATTAGGAAACAGGGGCTTTCTATTTATTTCACTGTCCTCAAATTTGCGTTAATCTGAAAGTTATGCGTCTTAGATATTTTTTAATACAAAACATTAAATATAATAAAGACTTTTTAATAAAGACTTTTTTTTGTGTAGAATTAAAAATTATTTCTTATTTATATTGCTTAAGTTTTTCAATTCATAATAATTGGCGACAAGAAAAAAGATCGTACGTCTTTTAATAAAAAAACAAAATAATAATAAAACACAAAATAAATAAAATAAAAACGTCTTACGGAAAAGTAAAATTAATTTCTTATTTGTTGTGTATTGTTTAAAAAAATAGTATTTTAATCACAAATATATGATATTTTAATGGCTCAAATCCGAGTCGTCCGACAATCGATCATATCATCAATGTTCTCTAATCAATTATGATATAAAAATTTATCCACATTCGTAGCTATATAGCTTCGCGATAATAATTCGAACAATTGCTGTGGTATTTTATCAAATCTTATCAAATATAACTTTTTCGATCGTTTATCAGAAGCGGCAAGTAGTACTACTCCATAGTATTTACGCAACATACAATGTGTATATAATAACACGCGAAGACTTAATACGATTTATCTCGGAAAATGAAATTTGTTTTGAAAACGTATGTTTCAAGAACAAGTAAGGCGAGGAAACGAGAGGATCCGATTATTTCGTCGGCAATTATATGAGGCCAGGACGCGAGAGTTGAACTCGCGTCTACGCGAGTTTCCTCCGTTTACGCATTTGATGCTAATGTCCGCTGTGAAAACTTCATCTCGCCGACCGATAACTCCGACAGCGAGCAAATTGAATTTTCTCGTTACTTGTATATTATTAGCGCTATCATAGCGTGTATTCTACTCTTCGCCTCTACGGGCGAATTGAGTTTCACGTGTGCCCCTCGCGCTCGACTTTGCGAAAGTGTACTCGCGGACGTGTCAATTTGCTCGCGAGCCAACTGGATTTTGCTACCACTGACCGTAAAACCGACTCAATTTTTGCACAGTGCAAAATTGAGTTTAAAATAAAAATCGTGGCTCTCTGCAGAATTTGACTTAGAAAAAAAAAAAACCGGCAAATTTCCAGGGTATTTGATAATCGTTGCATAAAATTAATATCCTACCAATATTGCCTGTATTTTCACAATTTCTCGGTATTTTTTTATCTTTAGATATCTATTGGAGAAGCTTCTATATAAAACCGAAATATCTGTTAAACATGTATATTAAGTATATGTATTAAATATAACGAAAATATATTATAAATATAATTTGTTAAAATATTTATTTATAAAAAATATTTATAGTACGTTCATTAAATTTTTTACAGTATCTTGATGACATTATCTGATTATAAGAAAAGGGATCTAAAATAAATATGAAGTAGATCATCTTGATTTAAATTTTGACGCGCTTTCGAACGTTTTTTCATTTGAGAAGTCTTTTCTAAATTTTTCAAAATTGTTCTAAATTTTTCTAATTGAATACAATGTAATCTTATCGTTAGATAAAACACCTGCACTTTTAGCGATTCTATTTGAAGCGAACGTACGGAAGGAAGCCTCAATGTACATCGGCTTTCCGCTATTCATGACGATACGTATGTCTTCTCTTATTAATGTTGGCGCAGCTGGCGCGCGAACATCGCGGCACGACCGACAGAATTGGGAAAATTAATTGTCGTCTTCTAGAAGCACGCTCCATCTCTTCTCCGGTAGAGAAGGGACCGCGAGATATCGAGCAGCATTGCACGTTGTTTGCGCTCGCGATTAATCAACGTTCCCGTCTTCCGACCGCTCCGATATCAGACCTCGGGGGAATCCAATTCGTTCGGTCGTTCTGCGCCCACTTGGGACTCCATTTCGCAAAAAAAAAAAAAAAAACCTTTCCCGTTCGTTACTTGTTGAGTGCTAACGCGAAAATTCTGTTGTCGAAAGTTTCGCGAAACTCTCTTGAATGTTCTTGAAACGTATCTATGAATATCGACTCCGCGGCGGAATTAATTTTGCGATAAACCACACTTGAAAATGTATTGTTTAATATTAACTGACAGTTTCATATTATTTCATCAAAGAAATGCTATTAAATCACATTTCTTCAACCATAAAATAAAAAAATGTTTTAATATTTTTATCACTGCATCTGGATCTTTTTGACATAAGTAAAATTTAATCTTAAAATTTTTCCAAAAGTAAAAAAAAAGTTGAGTCGATTCTCCTTCCTAAAATAATTGAGAAAACTATTTGGTAATGTATTATATAATAAAAATATTGAAAAGTAACTCACAATGTTTCTATATTTTTTAAATGTCTAAAATAGTAAAAAAATTTGGATTGAACAAAAAAAAATCCAGATTACAGACAGTGGAAGTAAATATATAATTGCATATAGAGTAGAGTAAAGTGTGATATTAATTATTTTTCTTAATATT